CACCCCGCGTGGCGGCTGTCAGTGCTTCCCTTGAAGGAGGGGGAAAGGGTCTGCGCCTGGCGAAGCTGCCGTCGTGATGGGGCCAGCGAAGGTCAAGGCTTTCCAGTGAAGGGCAGAGGTCTTGGTGCCAAAAAATATATATGTTATTGAGATGTTATGATAAACTTGACAGTAGAAAACACTAGAAATGAAAAAACACAGGCAAGGGTGAAGGCATTCTCTGAAGGGAAACGACAAAGTTCCTCTGTGTTGTCCTGCTAGGAGGGAGGTTTGTTCTCTCACAGCTCTCCTGCTTTCCTGGCACTAAAGTTAATCAAAATTCCTCCTCTAGCCACAGATGAAATTTCTGGCCAACACCTGAAAGAAACACCCCCCACTGTAACAAACAGGTGCTGCGAAGGAGAGACCAAGGACTCGGGCAGGTTTCACTCTCCTGAAGCCTGGCTGAGCGCTAAGCATTCCCAGCATGATGCTCTGTTTAAGCCATTAATTCATGTTCCTGTTGAAGCTATTCAACTGTGCTTAAATACTTGCTAAGGGATGGACTTGAACCCAGCTTTTCAACAGAAGACCGGAGCATTACAATCTCTGTGCTATGCAATCAGCCTCATTTCCCAGGGGAGTTAATTGTTTATACTCAACAAACAGCTCTAGCAGGAACGCAAAGCATTGCAAGCTTCCAAACAATAGCTCTGGAAGCCATTTAATTGAATGTTGCCATTTAATTGAATCTTGTATACCACAGCAATAACATATTTGGCCCTTTTATGGTAAACCCCATGCTGCTATCTTACTACTCAGCCATTCCAAATCTTAACTGCGTGAGTCACTAACTCCACGTGTGACTCTTCCCTCATGTTTCCCCGCAGCATGCGGGCATCCAGTATTTCTGCAGCTCAGCACCGTGGCCTCTGCCCTGCTCCTTGTTGCCGTGCCACATGGCATGGCCTCTTCTGTCTCTCGTGGATCAGCATGGCATCCTGCTACCTATGACCCTGGGAGAGAAGAAATATAAGAAAGGGTTGCTTTCCTTGCAAGCAGTAAGATCAGGAAGCAAGAACTTTGTTCTGGGTAATTTCTGCTGTGAGCTTGCCTCTCAGAGCTTACTCAGGGTGAATTTCCCTCCACTGGGCTAGAGGCAATGGACATTACACTGCATCAGCAGCTACAGCTTGTAGAAGTGGGAGGGAAGGAGCAACACGTCTGCAGCACTGATTTTCTCCCCTCCAGTTGTGAATAGTAAGGTCTTTTGTTATGTTTTCTCCAGCGTATGTGAGAAAGAAGGTGAACTTTGTCGGAAGCATTTTTTTTTCCAGCAATGAACATAGCTCAGCCGGCAACTCCCTCCTGTTATTTTAAGACGCAGCACAGTTCAGGCTGTTCAGTGCTTACACAGGAAGGTCTGGCTCTCGTGGTCACACTTTCACTATAAACCAGCCAATTTTACACTCTTTTGAAACATGACAGCCCTCCTCTCATTTGATTCCACTGCTGCCTGAGCCAGCAAGAGAGATGATTTGCATGATGGGGGCAGAAGGCAACTGGTGTGGACCAGGTGGGTGCCTTGGAGCCCATACCCAGTTGGATGGGGATGGAAGGAGGGTTTGCTGTGTAACATGAGCTTAAACCTTCAAACTAGTTCTTAAAAACATCTAATTGAACTCTGGTGAGCCACTCACAAATTCCAACCCAAACGCATGAGCAGGTTTTGTTTATTTATGGATTACTTAGCGAACAAAGATAATTTGGCAAAAAAATCAGTTAAGATATAAATCAGATGACTGAATAATATGAATGTAGGTGTGGTGATCACTTAACCACTAGATACGTGTTGTTCTTACCACTTCTGCCTTGACTGTCCTGTTTGTTTCCCCCGTAGGAAAAACAGTGACATAAGACAGTTTAATAACAAACCAACAAAACAAGGAAACATAAAAGTGAAAGAAGTCTCACATCATATAAACTTACCATAGAGATGCATATCAATTGTTACAAAGTAGTAGAACACTCAAGGCTTAACAGCCCAAGTTATTAATTTTTAATATAAAATTACTTCATACCTCATCACAGTGATGCTTTCATCTACTAGACTAATAAGAATTTTGCTGAGTGATTCCTTGCATGTTTAACTGCTTTTCTTTCATGAGCACATAAGGGAAATATAAAACCACTAGAAAAATTTTGTGACTGTGAGAAAAAAAAAGCGGTTTATTTGCATTTTTTTGTCAGTTATTTTAAAAGATCTGGAGCATACAAAGTCTTGTCTTGCTTCAGGTTTTATATGTCAAGTGTTCTGGAATTTCAGGCAGCCCACAGACCTGTCTTACCATTTGGATTACAGAGCAAACATAAAATTTGTCCTTAAGCAGAAATTGTGCTGCAAGCACAAGAAGCTGCCAATTTAGTTGAGACCAAAGGTCTTCTACTCCTAAGCTGCTGTCCTCAACAATAATCGCCAGGGGATGCTTGAAGAATGTGAAAAATAAAGCCTGTACAGAGCAATTCCGTTCCTGGGATGCCATCCCAGCTCCCAGCAGTGAGCTCTTTGGAGAGGACTGCCTGCCAATGAAGGGATCCCTGTTTACCCAGTAAATGCAGCGGGAAAGCCTATTAGGCTGATAGCTCTGGCCACGCACCCCCAAGAGCATTTTCTTTCCCTCCTCGGCTTCATTTGTACTGCAGCCCCTTCAGCCGGTCCCAGTGAATTGCCTTGCAGCTTGCTAGTAAAAGATTAAAAACAACATGAAAACACACGCCATTGTGTGACTGCAGAACTCGGTTCATTTGGGCTCATTTGATGTAGGGAGCACACTTCCAAATTCAGACTGAGAATAGAGCCTGCGGGGATGGGGTGCTCT